ACAACTCAGCCTTTCAACCTACATCAACTCAGCCTTGCGGCCTACAACAACTCAGCCTTGCGGCCTACAACAACTCAGCCTTGCGGCCTACAACATCAAATATCAACATACAGCACAACACAACTTTACAACTCAACATATCAACTTGCAACACAACACAACTGTACAACTCAACATCAACTTGCAACACAACACAACTATACAACTCAACATAAATCAACCAACATCCTCCACTAGTCATTAAGTTATCTTCATCCATCTCAACTAACTCAGCATACAACATCATTAACCAACATGTAGAAGAACCCCATCTCCGCGCCCAACGCACTCGAGGTTGTGCCCAGCGTGGTGCAACCAGAGGGTACCAAGGACAAGCGCGCTATTGAACGTTTGATCATCCCCTTGGTGGAAGGAGTCCATCATGTATTGTACTTCCCAAATGAACCAAGTATCCACCAACTTGGCAACCCCCGCTTCAACTTCAATTTTTCTGTCATTACCCATTTTTCTCTTTCTTTGTGCTACTGGCCTGACTTCTCAGCACACTGATAGTTTGTGGCATAGAAAGTTTGGGTCTATCCCCAGCATGTCGGAAGGTGTCCACGCAAACAAGTCCCTATTTTGCAAGATTACATTGCTCAAAGACTTCCTATCAGGCTCAGATAAGTTGATCCCAGTATAGGTGTTTTGTGATTCTTTTGTCCCTATTTGAAGTGGTTGTCTCTCTTCTGTTGGCTCCACTCGCTCATCATTTTCGAATCTTGAGTCGAGATCTAAAGTCGAGGGCGAAGGGAAGGATGGAGAGTTCATCATGTTGACCTCAATCGGCTCATCCTCTAAGCGCATTATTCTCAAACTCGCGAAATAGCATTCCCTGGCCGCCTTTTGATCTGCATGTATTGGGAGGATTTTTCCTGTATCAGACGGGAACTTCATCACCAAGTGTGGTGTTGATACTATCGCCCCTAATGAGTTCAATGATGATCGTCCAAGGAGTATGTTGTAAAATGTATTGGCATGTACCACCACATACTTCACTTGTATGTCCCGATATTCCCTTTCATCGAAGCAAAATTGAGTGAAAAGCTTGATATAGCCTTTTGTATTTACTCGTTCACCAGAGAAGCCGACTAAAGGTTCATTATATGGAATCAATTCTCTTTCGAAGATCCCCAATTGCTTGAAGGTGTTTCAATACAGGATATCTGTCAAGCTACCGTGGTCCACTAGCATTTTTTTGACTATCCAGTTGTGTATTTTGAAGCTTATCACCATTGGGTCGTCTTAGACTGAGTCGATTCCTTTGAAGACATTATCGGTGAATGTGATGGTTGGCATTCTTTTTGCAGTTCGGCTCTCCATGGCATGGACGGTGCAATCTGCCCTCAAATGTCTCTTTTGGGCATATGAGGTTGAGCCTCCCCTGCCAAATCCTCCTGCGATCATGTTAATCACTCGCCTTGGTTGTGCTGAGTTTTCTTGCCTTGGTTGTGCTGAGTTTTCTCGCCTTCTTTCCTTGGATCGATTTCACTCCCGATGCCTTCTTTAATGCCCTTGACTATATTGATCTCGATGGGTGTGTCAATATGGGGCAGGCCAGTCTATGAACTTCTAAAGCTGACCTTGTTTAATTAAGTCCTCGATTTTATCTTTGAGAGTTGTGCACTCCTCAATGGAGTGACCACGGTTGTAGTGATACCTACAAGATTTATTAGTCTTAGCACGTGCGGGAGTTGAAGCTCTCTTAGGAACAACTAATACTTCCGACGCAAGGGCCTGCTCAAGTACTATTGCTTGACTCGTAATCAACGGTGTGTAATGGGAGTATTTAAGACCGTGAATCGGTCATTCCCGAAGTGCTAATTCTTTGCCACGACCCCAAAATGGTGGCTCTCCAAACCTTTCTGCCTTCTTGGTAGACTCGGCTCGAGCATGGTTGTGGAAGTCAACCAATTCTTCCATTTGCATGTACTTATCAGCACTCCGATGTAAATCATCCATGTTAATAGTGTGGTTTCTTACAAATGCTATTGATGAAAGGTCCCAATTTTAAAGCCTTTGTGAGATGATGAAGAGCTACCGTAGGATTGAGGTCTCGAATTTCCAATGCAGCCTTATTGAACCAATCTATAAAGGCCCGAAGTGACTCCTTCTTATCTTGTCGAATGCTGACCAACGATAGAGAAGTCAGCTAGTGTGGCCGGCTGGTGGCAAATTGGATGGTAAACTGAGAAGACAAAGTGTTAAATGAATCAATTGAGTTGGCTGGGAGTCGAGTGAACCAACTTAAAGCCCTGCCTTTTAATGACGTTGGGAAGATCCGACACAATGTGGCATCGTCAATAGTGCTTAGTGTTACTTGTGTGAGGAACACGTCGATGTGTTTGTCGGGATCTGTTATGTCATCATATTTGTTTATTGGAAGGGATTTCCAATGGTCTAACAGTAGCGATTGCATGATGGATGATGTGAAGGGGTGTCGATATGCGCCGACTGGCAAGAGGTTGGCAAATTGGCTGATTGTCGGCATAGCTGAAGGAAACTTTTCTAGTGCAATGGCTGAGACACGAGGGGTCGAGGTGTTGATTTCATGAGACCAGAAAGATCCCTATGTCTACGTATGTGTTGGCTGAGTAAGCCTCCAAGAAGGGCCTTGGTTTTTAACGCAGCGTTTTCTGCTTTCAAGGCCAATAGTTCCCTTACATCTTTCTCCCTATGTTGTCTCATGATAGTCATTTCTTCCTTCAGCTGACAAACGATCTCCGAGAGGTTCGTCTCATCAACCACTTCGACATGGTCTTCTTCGGATCTGTGGTCTTCCATAATTGTCTTTCTAGTATTCACCATAGTTCTAGCTTGTTGTCTTAGAGCTTTCAGTTCGACCCCACGTGTGTGCGAAAATGTACCTATTTAAGGGCACACCAGTAATCTTCTCATAATCTGAAGGCCGAACGAGAGCTCCGAGCAAATATTCTGACGGGAGAGGTACCTGCAAAAGGCACTCCGATACTCAAGTTAGGACAAGCTCGAATATCAAATAGTAACAAATGAACAGTAACTTTACCTCGATATGTGAACTATTTATACTGACATTAATGGCCCAATTCTTGATGGGCTTTGTGTTAGGGTTACGAAATTAGGTAATACACTGGTAATTGACTTTATATCCATGATTAGCCCTTAATTATTGATTAAGGATAATTAATGGTCATTAGAGGAGTCTTACTCATTTGACTGAGAATACAAGGTGGTCTTCAGCTACCAGGGATGTTGGTCAGTCCTCGGCCGCCAAAGACGCTAAACCATGTGGGTTTCTCGGGAGCCAAATGGTCTACTCATTGCCTAGCCGATTGGCCGAGTGGCCAAAAGGCATTTGTACGATCTACAAGGACATACCTAAATGCCCTACTCTAGTACATTGTTTTTGGCGATCGAGGGTGCCGAGTGGTACAATTGTCATACATTTCATATGATCTTAGGTGTCGAACGGTATGATCGAATAGCCTGTACGGTACTCTAATTAGTGTTGAAGTTAGATAAGTTAATTCACTAATTGAATTATGCTTATTCATGGATTAAGTAATGTTGACTTGATTTTTTTGACACAGTTAATTCCTTGAAAATAACCCAATGTTGCTTCATTATTTACACTAAAGTCTAAAACCAATATTTTTTTTTTTTACAAACATTTGATAATTAAGCTTGGGATAACTAAGGAAAAAGTTTAGCGTTACAAACATATTTTTATTATTTTTCTCTAAATATAATATTTTATTATAAATTAAAATTTATTTAAAGTTATAAAATAATGAGAAAAAATTCAAATATAATGTATAACCTAAACAAGTTTATAATTTTTAATAAATTTCAATTAATAAAAGGAGGTGTGTTAAAAAAATTAATGTGATTAGCATTTTTTTTTCAAAAATCAAAGAGAATACTTAAGTTCTTTAAACTTCACCTATTTTATTTATTATAAACTTTTTTATTTAACTGATACTTAAACTTTATTCTATTAATAAATATATACTATAAACTTTAATTGTATTATAATTAATCTTTAAATTTTATCATTTTTATAAATAAACACTTTAATTTTAATTTGATCTTAATCCATTCTTAAAATTTATCTCTAGTCATTGAGATTAAACTATTAATAATGATAAATTTATCAACCATTTATCTATTTTAGATTACATTCGGTTTATTAATTATATATATATATAAAGAAAAGTTAAGTCATAATGAAATTTAAATTTTAAAAAATCAAATAAAGACTTTTTTTATTCTCTTGTTTTTATTACTTTCAAAAATTCATATTTTTATTATATTTAAAATTATAACAAAAGAAGAAAAACTAATGAATGATTCACACTTTTAAAATAGGGGAATGCTAATATACTTCCACTTATTTTTTAGTGAGAGTATGTTAACAACCTACACCAAAATTTTAGGATAAAAAAATCACTTATTTCTTTTAATTTGGTTATTTCATACAAAGTATATTATAGTAATTTAATTTAATTTTAAATAAAAATAAAATATATTTTTTCTCTTATTAACTTCCAACACCAAAAAAAAAATAACACAAAAAAATTTCATTCTCTAAGTCATTTCTCTCTCCTATTAAATTTCTTCTCTAATTATTTCTCTTTCTTATTAAATTCTTTCTCTAACTTATTTATCTCTCTCCTATTAAATTCTTTCTTTAACTCATTTCTCTCTCATCTCTTATGATGTCTCCCCCCTCTCTCTAAACAAATAAAAATTAATTAATAGAAAAAATAAATGAATTAGAGAATGAAATTAATAAAATAGAAAAAATATTTTATTTTCATTTAAAATTAAAGTAAATTACAATAATATTTTTTGTACGAATTAACTAAATAAAAATAAATAAATAATTTTTTTGTCCTAAAATTTTAGTATAGATTGCTAACATACTCCCACTAAAAAATAGGTGGGAGTATATTAACATTCCCCTTTAAAATAAATAATTTATCTCTAAAACTCTTGTTTGACCTTTTTGAGAAAGAAATGGACAATGGAAGACTGTCCCCTTTGTCCAATAGATTGGCGGAGCCGACAATCGTTGCCCAATAATACACGTCCGCCACACACTCCGTCGTTCCTTTCAACCCTAGAATTTGCAATTGGAGAGGTATATGTTAGTTAATTGCAACCATTCTGCACTAGTGATGCAGTTATCATATCTAATTACAGAGTTGTTCAATAATTATGTTTTATTTTTCATTGTTCTTGATGTATTCATTAGTGTTGTAATTTGTCTGGCTTGTTCAACTTGTTTTGAGACATCAATGTGTAGGATACTTACTGTTCTGATTGCCTATGTAAGATCCAAATTCTGAGTATGCTTGTTTCTTGAGAAATTTTTTTTTGTTAAGATTGTGTTCATCGTGCAACACAGAAATATGCTGTATTGCCATGACATGAGTTTGTTAGACAATTGGGTTGGGACTGTTTAGTTAGTTACAGTTAGAATCAGGGGGGGGGTTAGGTTGTTAGGTGCTGAGTTCAGGATTGCAGGAGCATGATGGAAGCCATTCAGGCATTTAGGTTTGAGAACTGAGCAAAGTTCCCATTCTGAAAGGGGCAACCTCTGTGGAGGGAAAGCCGGCAGAAGGAGAATCTTGATTTTCCTCAAATTAACATAAAAAATATCCTTATGAATGATATTTTACATGTCTTCTAAAATTTCATCTAGATGAAACTTATGACCTTGTGGGTAACACCACAGCTTAGATTAAAATCTTTTTTGCATACAAGTTTAGAAGAGCTTTTGAAAGTTTTTTTTCTTTTGAAAATAAAGAGCTATTTACAAAAGAGAAACTCTCAAAAGCACTTGTAACTTATATCCAAACACGCTCTATCAATGGAACTAATGTCTATGAGATCATAAGAAAGCATACCCTTTTATAGGTATGGATTTACAAGTTGCTGTTGAGGACATAATCCCATGGGATGGGACTCTCTCTGTAAGTGACTTTTCCCTTTCTGCTCGTACATTTTCCGAGAAGTGGAAAAGGTTCAATCCTTCCTTTCCTCCATGGCTTTGGATCCCATGTCCCAAACACCATTTGGCTTCTTCACATAAGGTGGGGTTCTGTTATTAGATTTCCAAATCCACTGCATTATTGCTCTATGCTTAGCAGCTTTCTTGGTTTTTGTCTGTCAGGAGGAAGGATACTTGTCACTGGAGAACATGTGCCATATCCAATCAAGTGAGGTCTGCCAGTAATTTAGTTTACTGCATCATCCTTAATAGTGTAGTTAATGTAAGTCACTAAATTGAAATTGTTATTACAGAAGGAAGAGATTAATAGTAGCTTGACATGGAAAGAAGAGAGCAACATCTCACACAGAGAAGAGCCCTTTGATTATGCAACTTTAGTATGTATGGCCTGTTGATATTCATAATCTAACTTGGTTTATCTCACTTCATAAACTTGGTTACTAGTGTTATTGACTGTTTCAGCACTCTTCCTTAATCCCTACTAACAATTTATTATTTTTTTCCCCTTTACTAGGCCCAGAGCATGAAGTAAACCACTATGATTTTCACATTGTCTACAGTCCTTCATATAGAGTTCCAGTCTTATATTTCCGTTCATACCATAGTGGTATATTTACTTTTATACCTATGGAATTTATGTGTGATATATATCTTGTTGGATGCATAATTATTAGTTAATAGTAATGCTTTTAATTAAAACAATTTTGAAACTAAGACCACCTTATGGTTGTTTTACTAGGAAACTTATTATGATCCAGTGGTCCTATTCTATAGTTGATAGATGTGGATCATAAAAATGCTGTCTACATCAATAACCCTGCACAATTTATGTCTGTCAGGTTCGATTGCTTAAGGTTATACCACAATGCCATTGTAATGGAACTTGTGGTTGGATTTGAAACTTTGTTGTGGTCATAAAAGATAATTACTTAGAAAAAATGGAGGGAAATGAACTATGAGGAGGAAAGTATGGTGTTGGGGCTGTGGTTGGATTTCAAACTTTGTTGTGATAGTAAAGGATATTTTGTTAGAAAAATGGAGGGAAGTAAACTATACGGACAAAAGTATAGTTTTATATTCTATCATCTAGTTTCATGGCATTGACTTTCTTGAAAACAGATGATTTTAAAATTGGGCTTTTTAATTATTCTGTCCATATAATCAATCAGCTGTGAAAAAACTCCATATTTCTGCATGCTGAATTGTACCATCACATTTATCTACATTTTCATTCTTATATGATTGTATGTGTAGGTTTTTTATTGAAACAAAGGAAATTCACTATAAATTTGACACTGTGATTCTGTTTGATTGTGTAGATGGGCAACTTTTGCCGTTTAATGAAATTGAAAAGGACCTTCCTGGTCACTCTGCGAAATTACGATCAGAATCCAAATGGACATTTATAACTCACGACGTAAATCACTTGTTTCCATATCTTTTTCTTTTGTTTTTTCCTTTTAACTTTTCGCGGTTATGCTTTCTTTTGTTTTTTTCTTTTAACCTTTCACGGTTATGGTACTAAAAAAATTTCTTCTGTTGAAAATATACCAAAAAAGATATATAAATATTTGGTCCCCTTAGCCTTTGCTTGTAATTATTTTCTTATTGGTTAATGAGTTTTATAAATAGATATGGAAGGAAAATGTAGAAACTAGGGATAAGACACGTCTTTAAAGTTTTCATTAGTAAAGCACCATAAAATTTGGTCAGCAAATGCAAAAGACATAAACTTCTTTTACAAGCTGTAGATTGCTTATTCAGCAAAATAAATAAATAAACTGTAGATGCTCTTGAAACACAAGGGAATTAAAGGATACTTCCAGATGGGTGGATGTTGGCAAAAATGTTTTCAGCTTTAACTACATCTTATATTAATCTGCAAGATCTTATCACCAGTTTTGTTCATAGCCCCTCTACTATACATTAAATGATTTCAGTGTTTATATCTTGTAGGAACATCCATATTTGAACAGGCCGTGGTACAAATTACATCCATGTGGGACGAGTGACTGGATGAAGCTCCTCTTCTATGGTGATTCATCTTTGAACAAAACTGGTTCTGTTATTGAACAATATTTGGTTTCCTGGTTCTCTGTCATTGGACAAGTGGTTGGTCTGAAACTTCCTTTGGAAATGCTGGACACTGTAGCTTCTAATGATTCTTAGATGCTTATTCATACTTACCCAATAGTAAAATGGAGGAAAAGAAGAAAAAGAGAAAGTCTCTGCACATCACTAAGTGTTAACTATTACTTCTACGGTTGTCGTTTGTAAATAGCAATGTTGTTCAAGCATTTAATAAATGGTAAAATACACACTTCTACATGCTTTTACTGGCAAATGAGGCATGCAGTTGGATCTTATTTTGCAATGAGCACTTAACTGTTACTTAACTAACGGAAGATGACACTTTCGACTGATGAAAAGGTTTTTCATTTCAGTTCGTCCTTAGTCAAAATATAAATTTAACACACAAGCTACTCAACCACAATCAACTTAGTATCCGCAAGTATTGTAGCAAGAATGTGAGAGTTTGTTGTTAATAGTTGATTGTTGGTTAAATTAAATTAGTTTCCGCACATAGAGATGAAATTAAGAATGTATTATATGGATGGGAACTAAATTAAGAACGTGTAAAATGATTATCAATAATAGAAATCAAATTGGTAATATTTACGCATAACAAATTTTTAATTAGATGACCGGATTAAGTATTTACGATAAGAAAAGGTTCTAAAACATGGTTAACCTAATAAAAAAACACATGTCCAAGAACTAGGCAAATAAGGAATTTTAACAAATGCAACTTTAGTAATTGCATTTGCTCAAAATATCATGTTTATATTTCGGATTGAACTCATTTGAAGAGATATATTTTAAAGAATTAAAGTACACTATTTATCTTATTTTAAAATCAAGAGTAATGATTAATGTTCATGTAAGAATTTTCCATCTAGTATCCACTAAACACATGGTTAATCACATTTAAATATAGTTAAATTAGTTGATAGTTAACTATTATCCAATATTTTAATAACCTAAATATTAGTCACTTACAAATCAAATTTCAATAATCTCATAAAACTATTAATCACACATTAATAATTGATACAATTATATTCATTTTTTTAATTAATTTGAAAAATAAAATTAATATATATAGATAATCATGCATAATAGTCAATAACATTATAACATTATTAACCCCTTAAAGACAGTTCGCCATATTTATACACATTAACCATTTTTTGTGATGGACCACTTGTATAAAATTAATCTTTATCAAACATTACAAGAACCTGATGAATCATAACACTATTAGCCACATTTATATATATAATTAACCATGTGCACTATTAAATGGACATAAATGTACAAATCTCATGTACGTTGCTCTTTTTTTTTATAAAATGTTATATATATATATATATATATATATATATATATTAAAGATTAATTATAATTTCAACAGTTAATTTTCTAATTAATAATTATTACACTTTATATTTTAAAGTGCAGGCTCAAGTACACCCTCCTCACTTAAGAACCATATATTATTCGTTAGTAGAAGTGTACCAAAATCCTTATATTACCGGTCACATACTAATCATTGGTCATTTCTATGTATGGTTCATACAAAATTTCACCACTATCATTCAATGGCACAACTCATCACTATACAAGAATACAGCTCATCCGCATATTACATCTTCCAAACTGGCAATCTTCTCCAAAGGTTAAAAAAATGCATCAAGTATAAATTCTATAATTCACTCCAGATCTTCGGGAACCTTATCATGGGTTCTGTTGAAGTGAACAAGGAATTCTGTATTACCCTCAGCACCTTTCAGAGGAGACTCTATCCAACCTTTACAGCAGAAACCAAAACTCTCTACTCCCTTTATAATCTTCTCAAGGACCTGAATCGAAGAAATCAAACACTCATATTTTCTTGTGTTAATTACAAGCTAATATTGGAGTTAAAACAATTCAACAATAAATAAACAACGCTACTAATATCAGAATTCTTTTGGTACTTCTTATTCTATTTACATATAAATAAAATAAGTTTTTCAGCATACACAAATGAGTACTTAAATTGAGGCAAATAAGCTACTCAGATGCTTGCTCTCCTGCACTCATAAATTTCCCGTTTTCCTTTTTTATTCACTGTTTATAGAATTAAGAATGTGACAAGGTAAAAAGTAGAAGTTGAATACACGAATCACCATATGCGAGTGGTAAGTTAAAAAGTAGAAGTTGATCTCGCCTAGAATTACATCTTTCCAATTGTGGTCGCTTGATTTTTTACCTAACAAGGTTCGTGTATTTATTTTACATTTTTTAACAAAGAGAATGAAAAATTCAAAAAAGGATATGAAATTCTTCTAGAAAAACGAAAGAGCATACAAAGCAAAACAACTAAAAGAAGAAGGTACTATTAGCTCCCAAGAGTTTTTCAATCGCTTTGCAAAACAATTCGAGAGCCTCACTCAAAACACCAGAAGCAGAAAACTATAGATAAGCCATATTTCTGTAAAGACTACTATGTCCCATAAAAGGTCGAACTCTTGTTTTAGGAGAGGATAAAATTTAATAAAGGGAAGAATGTAAAGCATTGTGTTTGTGCACATGAAGTTCTACATAAGACTTGTCTTCAAATAGTTATATTTCTACTAAGTAGATTTTGAGCAGTGTTGAGAACAAACAATATGACCAGATAGCCAAAAATTACGCACCTCTTGATGAACAATGGGATCTTTCACTATCCCTCCTTTTCCTACCTGAACAGAAAATAATTCAAAATTTAGAAATAGTATTTTATTTCTTCATATTTTCCAGAAGACTGGAACAACAATGATGATTATTTAATACAAAACCTGAACCAAAATCCCACTTGCGAACAATGATTTATTGGTAGAATTATGTTATTGACACTTACTGGGAAGAAAAACTGTTCTGTGTGAAATAATCAATGCCAGCAAAATAAACAATTCAACATCACATTGGTAATGTTTTGAAAAGTGTGTATCTAAGAGATTTATTTGAAAAATAATATCAATGGATATCCCTAATAGAACCAAAGAGAGGCCATCTTATAAAATAAAAATCTAGGGAGAAACAAATTCATTTACGTGTCCCAAAGATACCTACATAGTATTATCCTCCCTGCTCCTGCCAAAATCCCCAAAATTTATCTTAAGAAACTGATCCAAACTTGGGCATGCCAAGTTCACCAAATAATGCACAATAAATCAAGATGAAAGGAAATGAGGAAAATGTGAGTGAAGAAAATGCAAAGGTGCATTTGTTACAGTTTCGTTCACCTAGTCACCTAAACTGATTCCATATCATATTAGCCAAGTAAAGAATGTTTACATGTATATTATTGTTGACAATATCAAGACCAACAACAAAATAATATAATAAAGAGTTTGTATTCCTTACTTGAGATCTACGAGCTTCAAATTGTGGTTTAACCAAAGTCACTAATGCTGCATTTTCTTTCATGGCATTGACCACAGCAGGCATGACCTATTAAAAGAATAAAAGAACATTTAGCAGATCAAGAAGGCTAATCATACAACTAATTCTTAGTTCAGTGAAAATCATCTCAAAATGCCTCCTTTCCTTCTCCATCTTCAGTTGCTTACTAAGGTTGGTTAACCACTTAATAATCAAGAGAATAAGGAAACAAGATCATGATGGTAAACTATTCATTTAACCTGAAATATTTTCCTTGAAATGGGAGTACAGGACTATGTTTAACCAGATGTCAGAACTTACCAAGAGAATAGAGATGAATGAGAGGTCTAAAGTCACCAAATCAACATTTTGTGGGAGTCCAGCAAGATATCTTAAATTTGTGCGTTCTATCACCGATACACGTTCATCTCTTCGAATTTTGTCAGCTACCTGATTAAGTTAACAATAATTACCAATAGAGAATCACTATGCACGATTGATATGCATTTGCAATGAAGTAATGTAGTTGGGGAAAGGTTGTGGAAACTAAGAAACGTGAATAAAATCTAAAGGAAATTTAAACAAGACAGACACCAAAGACAAATACCATATTTGTAGATTCTAGGTTAACTTAAAAAATAAGATAAATTATATAAATGAGTTTACTGGATTTGCACAAAAACTTTTCAAATTATTAAATTCAAAGATTTTACTTTAAATATTCAAATAGAAAAGTTCCTCACAAATAAAATTCCAGAGTACATGTCCAATACTGCCCATATAGGAAAAGAAAATGTTAGTGCTTTATTTTATGCAAAAATAACATCTAGCAAATTACATTTCAATAAAAAAAAATAACCTTGTAAGTTTTACCCAGAAGAGTGAAAAGACCATATAGGTTCGGAAGTGTTGGAAATCCTACATCAACTAGTGAAATGGCCATAATAGTGTACTAGATGAAAAGAGGCACAATTTAAAAAAATAAATAAATAAATAACAAAAGTTGCTAAAAGAGATAATAGTGGTTTTATTTATTGAAAGAAGATAGTTATTCAACACTGGTTGTTACTAAGGAAGAGAATGCACAGTTACTAAAGGAGAGCTTTTGGCTAGAATGACAAATAAGGATAACATAAAATATTTTAAATGAATATAGATATATTTGTTAAAGGTAAATGAATCTTAAGAAAAGTGAAAACCAAAACTTGGTATTCTCTTTATCTACTGTTATAGATTATAGATATAGATTATCATAAATATCAGTAGGGAGTAATGCTCACCTTACCAATAGATTTTGTATGGTTAAGTTTGACTCAAATCCGCATTCTTAAAATGATATCAAACTCTATCCTATCGAGTATTGATGAACTTATTAAGCCACCCACTATGAGATCACTCGTAAATGTTCAACCTTACAAACTTCGCGCTCGAGATATCAAGACCTCTGCGTGATGGGGGATATGTTGAAAATCTCAAATCAACTAGTGAAATGATCATCATAGTATATATAAGTAGAAAACAATTTTCACCTTACAAGTCAATTTTGTAAGTTTGAATTAGACTCAAACCTACATTCTTATGAAGCAGCAAACCTATAGCAACAACTCTTCCTCCCCTTACCCTTAAAATTTGAAGAAAACAATACTTTTAGTCATAAAATAATTGATATATTTATGCATCATAATGTCATTTAACAGATGAACATAAATTTAAATTTTATTTGCAACTATAAGAAATGAAGCGTTTGGTTTGCGGGAAAAAAAAAAAAGAGGATAGTCCTAAGTCCTAACTGGTGTGGTGGAAGATATTTATGGCTAAAATAATGAGGTATATGGTCCCACCAATACACTCCACACTCCATCAAAATTGAACTGAGCACATTATAAATTTTTCATCAACAATAAGTGCTCATATAATAAGTCGTCCTGTTCAATGCAAAGGAATATATACATACATATTAAGACAAGAAAAAGATTGCAGCCAGAATCATCTGATAGCTCTGAAATGTACACATATGTTTACTATTCTACAGAAAGCCAGAAACCAGATTAAGGTCTATGTAGACTATGCAAAATACTTAATCCTAGACCACAGTGCACTAGTGCAGAGCAACCAACCCCAAAACAGTGGCGGTGTAGCAGAAGGCCACTATGCCAAAAATAGCGGATACAATGAAAACAATTCATAATACATACATAATGCATGCTCAAAACTCAAAAAGACTTGAAACTTTTGACATTCATCATTAGTATTTGAAAGTAATAACCTAAAGACACAATCACCATTGACCTATTCCAAGGCATAACTAATAACAATGTCAAAATCAACAAAAAGACGTGTGCATGGTGTTGATGGACCTGCTCTCTCCATTATCAGTATTACATATCCAATGTAACTTAAAAAACAGTGAATTATGTGAGAAGTTACCTGCCCATAACCTACGTCAACTCCATAAACATGTGATGCACCATACTGAAGTAAGCAGTCAGTAAATCCCCCAGTTGATAGCCCAGAATCAAGAGCTACTTTACCGGTTACATCAACACCAAGCTGTTCAATGGCAGCTTCCAACTTATGTCCAGCTCTGTGTTGATGTAAGAAAACAAAACACAATAAGGTTTCACCAAAAGTTGCAGATGGGAAATTATTTATAGCAGGCAGAGCTTGATGGCTTCACCTACATACATATTTGGGAACATCAGCCACTATCTCCACAACAGCTTTATCAGGCACGGGGGTACCAGCTTTATTTATCACCTTCCCGTTGACATATACTTTGCCTGCATCCAATATGTTATCAGTATTTTTTGATAGTGTATCTTACATAGAAGAAGCATAAAGAGAGTATAGATGACAAATTATTCTTAATTGCCGAAATGAACATAAACATTCACACACATTTGAGTGTATTGAGTTGATATTAGAGTATTGTTATAATAGGTGTGCAGGCTCCTACAGTTAGCGCTGCTGTATCTATATTCAGTTAGTTTTTTGTTTAGGTTCTGTTACATTACTGTTGAGTATTTTGTTACAACAGAACCCTTGTATCTCTCCTTTATATACCTTTGCTCAGTGCATCAATAAGACAAGTCAATATACAGTTTCTTTCAATCAGTCTTTAGCTTCTCTCTGAATATTAACATGCTATAAAGAGCTTAAAAATCTACCATGGTTTCTGGTGACAATTCTTCCCCGCCACCCGCTACAACACCCACCAGTTCACCCACTACAGCACCCAATGCCTTTTCTCTTGCGATCTCTGAAAAACTCAGAAAAAAAAAATTTTCTCTGGAAACAGCAAATTGAGCCCATCATCAAGGGACATCAACTTCACGAATTTCTTGTTAATCCTTCAATTCAATCAAGATTTCTCACCAAAGCAGATCGAGAAGCAGGAAAATTGAATCTAGTGTATGCAAAATGGGAGTAGCAAGACTCTCTTACTTTCTTGGCTACAATCGTCCATCATTGTACCAATCTTAACCTGTCTCATAGATTGCATCCATTACACAGCCACTTTAATGCACAGACGTGCAAGATCAAGATGCTTAGAACAGAGTTACAGAATACCAAGAAAGGAGATTGCTCCATCTTTGAATTCATCTTCAGAATCAAAGAAATTGTCAATGCCCTTTGTTCTATTGATGAGTGATGACCTTGTCTCCTCTCAAGAACAGATTGACGTTATTGTCGAAAGGTTACCCAAAGAGTATGATTCTCATTAATCTTGTTAACAGTCATTTGACCCTTTTGATCTTTGATGAATTAGAAGCACTTCTTCTGGCTCAAGAAGTCAAACTTGAAAAATAGTTCAAATGCAGTAAATAATTCTGGTAGTGTCAATCTTTCTCATTCCACTGCCAAGAACAGCACCAGTAATTATATTGGACAGGCTCAGGCAAATCTTGCCCAGAATACACAATTGTACTCTGCTACTCCTCAGTTTAACAATCACCAAGGTGGTAGAAATGGTAGAGGTAGAGGTAAAGGAGGCCGAGGTCGAGGTTACAACAGAGGAGGACGATATGCCTCTGTACAATTCCAAGTCTATGCCTTTGTACAATGCTAAGTTTGTAACAAATATGGACATGATGCATCCAGTTGTTATGATAGCTAAAATCCAAATTATGTTCCAAATTACACTCAAGTTGGTAGTTGTAATAATAACAATGGCTTTCAACAACACAATTGAACTCCTGGTCCTCCTTTACCCAATCAGTATCAAACCGCTCCATAGGCTTTTGTCACAAACTCCAGCATTAATTACTCACAAGGGTGGTATCTTGATTCTGGCACCACACATCATGTAACCCCTGAGCAAAACAATATACAACAATAGGTTCCTTATGAAGGACCAGATCAAATTCTTTTAGGCAATGGGCAAGGTCTATCGATTTCATCTGCAAGTTCCTCTTGGTCTACTTCTGTTAATTCTAATGTCAATCTTGTTTTTCATAATCTTTGGCTTGTTCCTCAAATTACTAAAAATCTTGTCAATGTAAGTAAATTCACTAGACAATGATGTTTTCTTTGAGTTTCATCCTCATGTATGTCTTGTCAAATCTCAGGTTACCAATGACGTTCTTATGGTCGCTACAAATTCTCCCATCTACACCTCATCTTGAACAAAGTAGTCTAGTTTTTCTATAAATCCTAGAGTAAACAATGTTTCTAGTTCAAATGTTTCTGTCAATACTTGGCATTGTAGACTTGGTCATCCAAGTAAGGATACCCTTTGTATTGTTTTACAACAATGTAATGTTCCAAAAATTAATAAAACTGACTTGGATTTTTGTTCTTCATGTTGTCTTGGCAAATCTCATTGTTTACCATCTATTGAATCTTTAATGGTTTACTCTAATCCATTGGAGTTAATTTACAGTGATCTTTGGAGGCCAACCCCTTTTGTTTCCTTTGGAGGATTCAATTACTATATTACATTTAAGGATGCCTTCTCTAGATATACTTGGATGTTTTTGTTGAAATCCAAATCTGAAGCCCGAACAGCATTTTTACAGTTCAAGGAAATGGTGAAATTACAATTCAACTCCAGGATAAAAGCTATACAAACTGACTAGGGTGGCGAATTTTGCTCTTTCTCCATTTCTCTTAAACAATTTGGCATACTTTACAAACTCATTTGTCAACATAACCACCACCAAAATGGGGTCATTTAAAGAAAACATCATCATAGTGGACACCAGCCTTACTCTTCAAGCCCATGCTTCCCTACCTTTAAAATTTAGGTACCATGTTTTTCTCACAGCCACACACCTCATAAACAGACCACCGACATCATCTCTTCGATTTGCTCTACCTTACACCAAACTTTTCAACCTGATTACACCTTCCTGAAAACCTTTAGGTGTGCCTGTTTTCCTTTACTAATACCATGGTAGTCAATCTAGGATAGCGGAGCGGAGCGGCCGACCCCAAAAGTCGGATAGAGGGATTGCAAATAGCGAGATGACCGTTATTTAAATATTATATTTATATTTATTAAATAATTAATAATATATATAAAAGCTAAAAAAATAGGAAAAATAATTCTAAATTCATGCATTAATAATAAAAGTTCATAGTTCTCAAACAAAGCATAACATAAAATATCTAGAAAACAAAATGTCAAGCTCTAAGTAACTAAACAAGTAAACATTGAAGTTCAATCTTCTTCCTTGTCAAGATTAAAATCTTCATCTCTTTCAAATTCATCACTCCCACTATTAGAATTATATTCGTCTTCTACTTTATCATCATCTAAATCTTCTATTACTTCCATCACTTTTTTCCTTTTTCTTTCCTGGATGTAGATGCAATTGTTGTTGCCTTGTTCACTTGTGTTTGTCTCCTAGTATTTCCAAAGGTTCACCAGCCCCAGTTGCCTTGGCAACATCTGTGCAAGTCAAAACATCATCATCAAAAACCAACTCATCTTCGATATCACCATCTTCATCCAAATCTCCTCCCAACATCCATTCATTGTTATCATCAACATCATTTAAAATAATAGGATCAATTACATCCCGACACTCGAAGCGTTTGATTATATTTAATAAAAACCAAGTCTTAAAGCTTTTGGTGCTCAAGCTTACTTCACTTTTTTGAGTGAATCTATAATAATTTAAAAATATGGTTAGTTAGGTTTCCATTTTCAATGGTAAACTCAAATTTAAATTGTTCATTTCAACTGCACATAAATACATTAAGTCATTAACTTACATGCTCAAAGGTGTCCCAATTATGCTCACAACCAGATGAGCTACAAGTCAAGCTTAGTATCTTAATGACAAGTTTTTGCAAGAGTGGTGTATGTCCTCCATACATCTTCCACCACTCAGCTGTAATGCATGTCATATACAATGTATTAATAATATTATTGAAATAAATTTGTAAACGAATTTGAAGCTTAGGAACTTTCTCACTTACTAGAAGTCATTCATTCTAACCCTTGCCCTCATTGCTGCAAGAAGGTCAAACCTGCCTCCCGCTGTTTTATATATTAGCAATTAAGTGTGAATGTTGTCTACAATATCATCATTTTCACTAAGCCTATTAATACATTTGAAGAGGTCATCCACCACTTCATCATCAATTCTTGAATTTCTATAAATAAATAAAAACTCAAGCTTTAGATAATATCTCACTGCATACAAAGGATGATGAAGTTGGCAATCCCATCTTCTATTAATAATTGCAAATATATTCTTATATTTTTTCTTCATTGCGATCGAAAGAGAATTGAATTATTTCTTTGGCCCTTTCCATAGCTTTATAAATGTAAACCATTGCCGTTTTTTTTCATTATCCACCAACATCAACACACGTACAATAGGCCTCATAGCCTTTAAAGTATAGACAACATCACTCCAAAAGGATGGCATAAGAACAACATTCGTTGTTTTCTTTCCCTTAGCTTCTTTGGTTCCCTTTGATTGCAACCACTCATCAGAAGTAAACATTCTTCTAAGATTGACTTTTGTTTATGCAATTGTTGCAAAGTGAGGAAAGTGGTAGCAAATCTTGTAACTCCATGCCTCACCAGTTAAGTCTTGTTTGTATATATCCTCATAATGTTCACGGTCAAGGAATGATTGTAAATATAACCCACAAGCTTGATGTTTCTTTGTATTACCCTTTTAACTTTATGGATCTTTCCGATATCTTCTAGCATCAAGTCAAGGCAATGAGCAACACATGAAGTCAAAAATAAATGTGGCCTCAGTTTGTAAAATTTTATCTAAAAAGATCAATAACAAAATAATTAAAACAATAAGTTATAACTCATAATCTTATGAGTATAAAATTAAAAACTTCATTGAGGAACAACAATAATTGATGCTTACCTTTCGTAACATAATTGCTTCTATTATCTGTCACCACTTGAATAACATTTTTTTCTCCAATTTCCTCAATAAAATTATTCAAAAACTCAAATACCTTCTCACCATTCTTGGTATACTCAGAAGCATCCACACTCTTCACAAACATTGTTCTTAATGAACAATTTACCAAAAAGTTAATCAAAGTTCTATTTTTCCTATCAGTTCAACCATTCGTTATAATTGAGCACCCATATTTTAATTTTTAATCTCTTCTCTTCAATCATGTCTGATAGTTGGACTGATAGGAAAAATAAAACTTTGATTAACATTTTGGCAAATTGTTCATTGGAAACAATGTTTGTGAAGAGTGTGGATGCTTCTGAGTATACCAAGATTGGTGATAAGATGTTTGAGCTTTTAAATAATTTTGTTAAAGAAATTGTAGAAAAAAATGTTAT